ATATATATATATATATATTTATATATATATATATATATTTATATATAATATACATAAAAAATAATTCCAAATAAATAAATAAATAAATAAATAAAAGGTATTGCAATCATAATTACTTTACAGGGGATACATTTGTAAATCAGTTACATTGTGTTGCATTGTAGTTACCTTAAATTACAGTGATGATAGGTTAAGTAACCTCTAAATATACATATCTAAATATGTCGTAATAATTTTCCACCTCTTTAGAAAAATATCAGTATTCATTAGTAGACATGCAGTCATTTGTTTCCATTATATAGACCTGTTTAAGTCTCTGAATCCACTGAGCCACCTTTGGAGAACTTTCTTCCATCCAATGTACTGTTATCATTTTTTGCAACCAGTAATAATATCCTTAGGACAAATCTTGCTTCTCCATTGAACATTTCTTTGGACAGTGCTCACAGTAAGCACATAACTGGATCGAGGGGTATTTCTATATCTAATATATTATCTATTTCTTTTTTTTTAACATTTTTCCAAATTTCTTCAATCTTAGGACAGTCCCAAAAAATGTGGGTATGATCTTCAATTTTAACAAATCTTAAAATGTTTTTTTTATTTTATTAAAAACTGCTTTTATTCTAGCCGAAATAAACCAAATAATAATAAAAAAATATATGTGAAAAATTAATTGCTCTGTTAAACATAATTTAGGAAATATTAGAAGAAAACTCACACGAGGGCTAATCATTTTTACTTCAACTGTATATATTGTGCAGTCCTAATAAGAAGACAGAACCTAAGAAAAACAAAGAAAACACTATAAAACTTACTGGACCATTAGCTCCTCTGCTGCTGTGAGAAAAGCATCCGTCTCCTCATGAAGTCAGTCTGACATTATGGAGATGCTGTCGGCTCAGATCCCAATGAAATAAGACGTAAACACTGTGGACTCACAGCACTGAAAGAGACACGAGAAAACACCTCCAGTGCTTAAATACATTGAATTTCAGAG